CAAATGTTACAATGTACAGATATTAGATTATGATATATTGGCTCATATACCATAATGGCTAAGCCAATAAAAAGTCTTGAATTGCATTATCCAATGATCCAGTTTTTAATAATTAACAATAGTCACAAAGATGTCTGTTTTTTAATATAAGTTGGAGTATCACACGCATACTTTCATGCACCCTTCTCTTGGGAGCGATAGAGGTCGTCAGCTGGTACTGTTCAAGAGATAGGTCAATGTATATGAGAACATCGTTGAATCTTTTAAAAAATGTCTCAGGAAACTATTTTAGATACATAATTGCGCAGGAGTTTCAGTAGTAACTTAGTCTGTGTATGTTTGTCGTGAAATCCATGTTCAACAAAGAACGTCAGAGCTTTAGGGTAAAAATACATATTGAAAAATAATGTGTCAATTTAATATATCAATGTACACCTCGTTTATAATGTCGTTAAGTCATTATCTGAGAGAACTTCTCTAGCACAACCGGCAGATTGTTGTCAAAATAATAACAATTAGCACTGCTCGATGCATAATTATAAATGTTACACCATGGAACTCTTGGGTTAGTACATTTAGCGAGGTCTTCTACCATACTATGACAAACCTCACATTTCTTGATATCAAGGTAACTCCCCACTTTTCCTATGTAGAAATGAGATGTACACAACTTCATAATCTTTGGTTTTGTCTCATTCAACAACACCAAACAACAACCCAGAAGGCCCATAGATTGTGGATACAATTCCTCCAGATATACCTCCAACACTTTAATCCTCTGGGTCAGAAAATGCTCCAGTTTACCTTTCTAAATGTTTTCAAACTGGACGGTTTCAGAGAGAGTATCCAGCTTCATACCACTAAGCAGTTTGTCGCAGTCCTGATGCACCTTCTCCAAGGCATATAAGTCTGCAAGCGCTCGAATCTTCATGACATTCTCTTTAGTTTTAGGTTCGTCTTCAAGGAACTTCACACAGGGTTTGAAAATGTGTTTCTGTTACTTGATACTCGTCACTTAACTGCAGAAGTTGTTCCACGTTTTCCACTAAGATAAAAAAGCATAAATTGAGAGATAATCCGTAAAGAATGGTTTTTGAGTCGCGTGTTGAATCAGCCTAAACGGACCCGTGTACCAAATACTTCAGTGGTATACGCTCACCATAGACAGTTAATCATACAAGGGGTTTACACTGATTCGTTCCACATCATCATCCCCTCAGATTTTCCTGGAGAGATTCAAGATCGACAAAGCGGGACAAGCCATAGAGGAACTATAAAAACCC